ACCTTGCTTCTATATAAACTCTTGAAGAGAATTTTACTATCACACCAACTTTCTTCAACATCTCTTCTACCTTATAAACTTTATCATTTCCAACACCTCCCCCCCAAATGACCAGAAGAGCTCAAGAAGAAAGAGAGGAGCCAGATCTCACTGATATGATATTCAGAAATGGAGTCGACGGACATCAACAAGAGCAACTTTACCGAAGGTTTCATCAGAGAGGTATACTTCCAACAAGGTACATCGATGAAGATTGTTTACGTGACTTGGGATTGCTTGAAAGTGTGCAATTTATGCTCCATGAATCTGGTCTACACTACATTGCCACCATGAATCTTCCAACTTGTCCCTCACGTTGGAATTCTTGAGCTCTTTTTCCTACCAAACACCATCCACTCCAGAAACCGGTCAGTATCTAATCGGCGCAACAACTTTCAGATTATTCAACACGGAGTACACCATGAATCAAGAGACTCTGAGTCAGATACTCCACTGCAACCATGGTGAAGGTGTGGAATATAGAATTCCGCCTGAAGAAGATTGGAAGGCAAGATCGTTTGAAATTTGGCAACGTTTAACTAGTACTCAGGTTAACAACTGGGCTGAGCTTTTATCCACTCACATACACAACTCATGCATCCGCTATTTCCACCGCGTTCTAGCCAATACAGTGTTCGGGCGAGCGAACAACAATAAAGTGAACGCTAGGGAAATGTATTTTCTGCATTGCACCCTTGATCCCGATCTTAGAATAAATGTTGCTCCATTCCTTCTCAACCACATCCAGTCTCTGTTATCAAGAAGCGCAAGCACATCACCTTTCTGGCAAGCTGAGTTTCTTGATATTGAATATTGCCAGTTTGGTCATCTTGTCAAAGCAAGAAGGGATGAAAGGTACAACCTGATGGTGCAGCACAAGGTCGTCCCAAGTATTATTTTGCCGAATCCGGATGTAACAAGAATTGACATCGCCGCAAATTGGATTTATAATTTGCAGGCACCAGCCCCTGGAGCACACGTGCAGGATAATCAAGCAAGTGTAGAAAATGCAGTACCAGAAGTGAATCAACAAGGACCACAACAAGAACAAGCAGGAAATGATCCTCAGCCGGCCACCATCGAAGCTATCTATGCATCGCTTTTACTACTAGATCATCGTCAACAAGAACTGATGCAAATGATGCAAGAGCTGCAGCGCGATCAACGCGATAACACTTACTGGAACCATCGCGACATTTCTAACCTGACTGATGAAATGCGACACTTGTCATTCCGTGTTGAAGGCCTGCATGCTTATGTTTACAACCTGGCGAGGAACCTCCTAGACCCAGAAGAGGTGGAGTAAGGACACGAGGAGAAAGAGCACAAGGTGAAGCATCCAGCAGCAGAAACGTCAGAGACGACAATGAGGAGTGATATATGTTTTCTCCATTCCTTGCATTTTTATTATTATTTCTTAAGTTTCCTGTTCGTTTTCTTTTCTCACTTTATTTCTCGTATTGAGGACAATGCTCAGTTCAAGTGTAGGGGAGGAAACCTATGTTACCTATGTTATGTTTTCTTTTTTTCCTAGTAAGTTATTCGAATTTCTATTATTTCCCTTTCCATTCAATAAAAAATCATTTCCGTAAGTTATTCGTACTTCAACACTTTTCTTGAACCATAAAAAGTTTTTTTACTCGACGCATTAGCTCGGTACATTCGAAAAGTATATAGGTTGTTCACAATTAGGCTGCGTTAGAGTTTTTGAAAAAGAGCCGACAAAAATAATACCGCTTTGACACCAAAATCTTCCGGATTATGCAAATCAGTTTGAGTGGTTATGATACCGAAGCCTTAAATTTTAGTTTTGGATCAATCCCGAGTAGTTTATACTAGCAGTTAGCACCGTCTTATCCACAAACTACGTAGGGAGCCGATGAATATAAGTGACTGGTCCTAATAAGAAAAAAGAAAAAAAATGATAAGCATCAAGATATAGAGAATGCGCTAATTAAGTTAGGTGACCCTCACCAGGTCATTTAATCCAACAGTTGTGGTACCTACAAAAACTGATGTAACAACCAGTTCTAAGCCTGTTCAGTGGTATCTGGTGCTGAACTTGGTAGGGCGAACTACAGTTCGATCCCCCGAGACTTATAATCTGGGAAAGAAAAGGGTTACCAACTTGTGTACCAGAAACTCGTGCACAAGAGACCAGAATCGCTAACCGGCTACTCTACTATGTGCGTGCGAAAGATAAAGGGCTTAATGTGATTGCGCTAGAATGAAAGCGGTTGATTTCAAACGAAAAGAATTAGGTTGAGCTATGATAGCATAATTCGGACTAGTTTGCATAGGATTGAGGATTTTGACCATATGTTATGGTTTTGTGTCATTTTTGTATCATTAGTGTCGGAAACCGTGCGTTAAACGGTTTTTTTTTTGCTCTATTATTTGCTTGAGGACAAGCAAAGGTTCAAGTGTAAGGGAGTTTGATAAACCGGAAATGTATCGAATATTTGGGTCAATTTACATGAATTTTATCCGCATTTTAATTAATTAAATTACTCTTTATTCGTATTATGCTGGTATTTTCTATGTTTTCAGGAATTTGATGTTTGCAAGACATGTGCGAAGAAAGTCAAGAAAAGTCGAGCTAATTGTATTTAAATCCGCACAAAGAAAGAGAAATTATGCAATTGAGGGGTGTGTGGCAGAATTGGGTGCATTACAAGTAAAAAGTCTGGGAAGACCAAAGAAGAAACACATGCTGATCCAATCCACCCAAGGTCCAAGGGGTGTAACGACCGTTACACATTGCCTAGCCCAGGTGTAACGACCGTTACACCTTGCAGCGCTAGCCCCTCCTCAAAAGCAGGAGCGTAACGACCGTTACACTGATTCCTTCAATCTGTAGCGGTCGCTACGGAGGCAAATCCGGAGGAGAAAATATCTCAACTCCCTACGCGTCACCAAGCCTATAAATAGGACATCAAATCCCCATTTTTAGAAACATTTTCTTTTCTCAGTTTTTACTGTTATTCTGCCAAATATTTTCCGCATTATTTCTTTCCGGTTATTTTACCGATTTGTGGGAGACACTTGAAATCAGCCAAATATTCTGCCATAGTATTTTCAGGTTTAATTTAAGTATTTTATTTATTTGTGCCAAGATTGTCTGAAATGTTTAGTTTATTTAAATTGTTTGATGGTAGTTATTTCTGTTGCGCTGTTATTGAATTGTATAACATGCTAGGCTAAATTTATTTATCGGTATGTAAGGTCATATGGCCAACGGAGTTTATCAACGCCAATTGATCAGTTCCTTTTAAAAAAGAATAATTTTCTGGTTTCAATTACTAGTTATAAATATTAACTGTTTTATTACGAGAGTAAAATACAGATAGAAGTTAGGATCAATAAAACGAGAGTTTGAGATAATAACTGGACAGTGGTAATTGTGCATCAACTTAAAATATAGCGAGAGCGCTTTTAAGTTGATTAGGTTTTGTTTGTTTCCAAAAACAATTTTTAAACTCTAATTGAAACATCGAGAGCACTCACTTAGGTTTGATCGTAGGATCTGAATCAATAAACACGAGAGTGTGAAAAGAGGGTTTTCAAACAAATACTTCCTACTGAAAACTGTTTTGTTAATCCGAGTTAGGTCAATGAGTTGCTAAATCCCCGAAGTCCGACCATTACATACCGATATTCTCCCTCGAATCTAAACTAGATTATAATCGGTTAGGTTCCCTAAACCCCCTATTAATTACATTATTAGCCTTAGACTTACGTAGTAACCTAAGATAATGGTAGTTCGACATTTAGTCCCTTGAAATTCGATAATCTTTAAAACTACACACGATATGACTGTATACTTGTGGTCTAGATTCTTTAAGACTCACAAAGTCGTGATCACTATAACCTCTTATCATGCCTAAGATTCGTGGTATGAACACAGGGACATTTATCATCTTAATATGGACCTCTAAAATGTTTTGACCATTTTAAAAAAATATAATTTAGTCCACTATCATACCAATTCATCCATATAACCTTAATCAGAAATGAGAAAATAGATTTTTCTCAGTCAAAATTCTTAGAATCTCTCTCTATATTTTGAACTGATTCAAACCTACACTGGTTATAGCTTTTTTTTAGAGGAGCCTGTTAAAGTTCTACAACCTATATTTAGTGTTATCGGGAAATATCCAGCTTCCTTTAATTTGAGAGTGTGATTTACTTTCATATGCTACTAACAAAATAACTAGGACCAATAGCATATCTTTGTTTTGAATGAACCACAAAAATTATTTGCTTTAGAGTATTGCATTCTGTTATCAATTGCAGGAACAATCCTCTCTCGAACAACCATTTCACCCATGCAATCTTGTCTACCCACAATAAAATGAATACATCAAACATGAGGCCAGCATACCTCACTCATTGAAGAATCGGTGGGCCATCCCCATGCTACTCTTGGGAATGATTCATTAGTGGATTGATTTTGGTTGGAGGGGTTGCAATCAGACCATCTTAACCTGTATCTATAATGGATTATACAATTTTTTAGGTAACTAACTTTAGTTCTTATTTACTGTATCATACTTTTCTTTAAAATCTTGAAAATGTGCCTAAACTATAAACACCTTGCACATGGTGTTGACTGTTTATTTTGCAGATAGACTACTGCCATCTGACCCTTCCTCAATACTCATATTTTCTTTCCAGAATAGACTTTTAATATTTTATGGGTTACTACAAGACTAACTGATCCATCCTGGTCCTATCACCTATGTGTCTCAATTAGTAATGAAATGAAATTTTTATCATATAAAGTACCTAGATATTTTCTATTTTTGAAGGTATTGGCTAGAGGTGTAAAAACAATATAAGAAAGGACTTTTTTTCTCATCAGGTGAAGCAACTACATATATGAAATGATGAAATAATGCTGAAACATAAATTCGAAAAGAAAGAGTATGAATAGAAATACATTTTACCCATACTCCGTCTTATAGTAGACCTCTCTCAATCATTTCACGAAGAAGTTTCTCTGCTTTATCGTTTTCATCTTTTTCAAAGAGAGAAAGAATAATTGTTTCATAAGTTTTAGCATCCGGAATGCAACCAGTGTCTTTCATTTTTGACAGCATGGCCAATGCCTCATCGAACAACCCGTGGTTACAAAAGCCCTTGATCATAACCGTATATATACGAACATCTAGATTGTAGCCTTTCACTGAAAGATCTTCAAATATCTTTCGAGCATCCTTAAGTCTTCCACTTTTACACAATCCTTCAATAAGAATAGTATATGTGAACATATCTAGTTGAATACCAATTTCCTTAAGTTTTGTTAATAATGCAATTGCCTTGTCAAGATGATGGTTTTTGCATAAACAATCCAATATAGAATTGTAGGTAACTATATTAGGTAGTTGCCCTCTATCACACATCTCATCGACAAGTTGCATAGCATATGAGATTCTGCCTGATTTGCATAAGCCATCAATAAGAGAACTATAAGTTATAGTATCGGGAATAATTTTTCTACAAAGCATTTGTTTTAAGAGATCCGTAGCTTCATCAACCATTTGAATCTTACACAATCCATTGATCATGATAGTGTAGCTCCAAACATTTGTACTCACTCCTCTTTGGGTCATAGTGTTGAATATATCCATGGCCTTATTCACTTCTTTCACTAGGCAATATCCATCCATTAAAGAGTTATAAGTAACAATGTTAGGTTTTATGTCTTTTTTCATCATCATAGCAAACACATTTTTTGCTTCTTTCACTTTTCCTTCCTTACAAAATGCATCAACCAATATACTAAAGGTATAAACATTGGGGTTGATGTTTTCCAATATCATGCTATTAAACAAAGCAATTGCCTCTTTCAATTTACCAACAATGCAAAATCCACTAATTAAAGCAGTGTAAGTGACAATATCAGGAGAAATTCTCTTAGCAAGCATTTCAAAATATAAATGCAAAGCATCATTAACAAGTTTATTCTTGCACATACTATCAATAAGCGTGCTATATATTACCACATCAGGCTGAACCAATTTCCCATCAACTCGTCTGAGCAACTGTAGGGCTGCTCTTGTTTCTCCAACTTTACACAATCCATTGATAAGCATCCCATAACAAACTAGGTCCAGCTGAAATCCTAGGGCTATGAGCTTGTCATGAAAGTACAATGCTTGATGGAGTTGACCTTTGAGACAGAGACCCTTGATGATTGTAGCAAAAGTTATGACATTTGGGTGATAACCCATTTTGAGAATGTTGGCAAATACAGAAAATGAAAGAGAATTGAGACCCAATTGAGAAAAGCAATTGATCAAGATGTTGAAGGTGACTAAGTCAGAAGGAATATCCGTTAATACCAATTTTCGATGAAGTGAAAGAGCAGTGAAGTAATGGTTGGCCTTGACAAGGGAACCTAAAATCTTACCAAATTGGAAGATGGATGGCGTAGGATTCTGATGGAGCAATCGATTGAATGAAGAAACGAGACTGCGTTCGTCTTCTTCGTCGTGTAATCGAGAGTACAGCCTCCTTGTAACGAAATTAGGGTTTGAAAGTTGAAAATTGGGAATGAAAAGAGAGACAACAACATACCTCAACTTAGAAATCAACATTGCAATCAAAGATATCAGATTAAACACTCCAGATTTCTATTAACTGTCATTCGTGATTCAGTTACACTTCATTGCACAAACTGTGTTTCGTTGTGTTCCTATATGACAAACCTCTTTTTTTTTTTAAGTGTTTCAAAAAAAAATCACAAAAGTATTAAAAGAAAGAACAAATTGATTTAATAATTTTTTTTGGTTACAAGTAGGAATTTTTTTTAAAAAAAGTCAAAATTATTTAGAAAAGTAGAAAAAAATATTAAAAAAAGTTTGGAATTATTTACGAAAACAGTCTCATGTTTGAGTAAATAGTCAATATAATTATTTTCTTCTTTAAAAGTAAAATATTTAAATTTGCCATTTTTTAGAGAGAACTTGTTTAATATTGTGAAGACTTGCACTATAGTGATGTCAAATATTAACAGACTCTAAGATACTCATAATAATACATTAGGTCTTTGATGTCAAATTTTCATGTCATATGCAAACCATAATATAACGTCATTAGCTCAACATGAAGAATGTTGAAATAACTAATATTACTCGCAAAACCGTGAACCCAAACATCATCGGCATTTCAAATCAATCCACCAAAACCTAATATTCAAAATCATATTACTACCTTTGTGTATATTTCACATGATCTTTCTTGTTGGATGAGACAAATTATGTTTGAGAAAATATTTATCTAATAAATTGGCATAATTCATTGTGATGAGTTTCAAAGTATAAGAATATATCACATCATTCGCAAGACACAATTTGTTCCTAGCATACCACAACCACCTGCATGAAGCCAAAAAGATAGAGTCATCATTGATGTCATGTTTAATCTAATCATATAATTAATCCCATTGGAAGAATATTGGGTCCAAAAAGCCAATAAATTTCTAAAAACTGATAGCAATTTCACAGTCTCTTAGACAAGGTAGAGTCGTTTCAACATCTTGATTGCATCTAAGATAAAGATTCATCTGAAGCATACCACAATGATACAACATCAATATCGTAGGAAGGGACTTATGTAAAGTCATCGAAAAGAAGAATTTCACCTTCTCGATAGCAAGAATATGTCACACCCACTTCAATGAGTTATTGTATGTTATATTTTGAATAAATTTAATTCTTTTGAGTAAGTTATAATCATCCCAAGCAGTATATATTCCACATAAATTGCATTTCCAAGTTAATTGATTAAGCTCTAGATAATTCAAACATATGGGAAGCGCTTTTAGGAAGTCATAAACAATCAGATAAATATTAGTATATAATGAATTGAAGTTCCAATTTTCATTCAAGTAAATATCATTCACTCGTATTTATATATCATGGATATCCATATAGAGAACCTGCTCCGCTAATTTTATTACCCAACCCAATTGGAAAATCAGAAAGAGGGACTTTCATCCCCTAATTTAAATTCAAAGTCATCTTTAAAAGCAGAGAGAATTTTCATGATTGCATTTTAAGTAACTAATCTCGGTTTCTTTTTCATATTAAGGAAAGTTTCCTCACTAATGTACTTATACTTCAAAACTTCGACCCATAGGGAATCACAACCCCGGTGGAAACTCTAAACCAACTTACCCAACATAGAAGTATTGGCCTCTCTTGCTTTCAGGATCCCAAAACCTCTCAAATTTTTGGACTTAGTAATTTTATTCCAGACAACGAGATGCGCACCAGCGTTTGAATTACCTTTCCATAAAAATCCCTAGCCATTATATCAACAAAATCACAAGTTGACTGAGGTAGCCAAACGACTTGCATATAATAGTTTGGGATGTAGTTCAGGACAAACCTAACTAAAGCCAAACAATTGGCCTTGTTTAACAATTCATGTTGCCATGATGCTAACCTTTGATTGATTTTCTCCTCTAGGAACTCAAAGTCCTTGCATTGAAGATTGTTGTAATTGGTTTTTTAAATAAGAGTCGCCACCCTTAATTTTTATCCTAAGGAAGGGAATATAAAGGTTAACCCCAAAAAGTTAGAGATTCTAGTGTAAGTCTCAGAGTGCCTAAAAGGGGGGGGGGGGGGGGGGGGGGTGAATTAGGTCTTATAAAATTTATTCGGTTTTATGAGAATACTTGAAGTACTTTTTGGTTAAGTGTTTGAAGGTTTTGATTATATCTTATCTTTTCCTTGATTATGGTGATGAAAGCGATAAATGCGGAAAAGTAAAGAACACGGTGATATATCCTGGTTCCCCTCACAATCCGAGAGTACTCCAGTCCCCTTTTCAATACGAAAGAGATTTCACTATAGTTAGAATGATTGTACAGCCTATGCTTACTATTTAACCTATAGGGTGATCAAAGGTTCTTAACACCTTTAAGACCAAACAAACACTAATGTGAATGAAGAACAATCCTCTTCAAAACACAACACTTACTTCCAACAATCCTAGATAGTAAGGGAATAAATTCTTTAAGTAATACAATGATTGATTTGAAATAGATGGAGAGCTTTATCAATCTTCAATTGATCTTCTTCTTCAAGATATAAACAATTCTCAAATAATGTATATAAATATTCACAATGTATGTATGAAACTTGTAATGAATTAATGAAAATGTATATGGCAAGTTTCACAAAATTTATGAACACATGAAAGTTTGAATTCAAATGTGAATGATGAAAAATTGTTTATTGAAGAAGTATATTTGTTAATTTGAAAATTGAAGCATTGTTTTTTGAAATAAGAAAATCTGCAGCATTTTATAAAGTCACAAGAACCTCTTCATTCATGCCAATTCATATGAAAAGTTGCAATGCATTCATGAAAGAGTACCATTGAAAAGATGTTCAAAAACCAAAAGAAAAGCTGCACTGGTTCGCTAGGAACCAGTTCCGACACTGACAGAACCCGGTTCTTAGTGAACGTTATAAGTCAGATTTCAAAAATATCACGCAGGAACCGGTTCCCCTATTGGTACAACCCGGTTCCTGGTACAAATTCCAGGGACATGTTTTTTGAATAAGTCTGGAACCCGGTTCCCTGTTAGGGAGGAACCGGTTCCTGAAAGATAATTTCCAAAAATTCTTTTTGAAAAATATTTCAAACAAAGCTTTTCATAAATGTAAACATGTTGGATATGTATATGTTGATGAATGCATATTTTGTGAACATCTATATTCAAGATTTAAGAATTATTTTATACCATTTGACATTTGATGATTCTTCAATAATTCTTCTTCTAGTCTTCAAGACTTTTATATGATGTTGATAAGCTTTTTGCACATCCTTAGAATGTTGATGTCCATGTTGTCTTTATCAAAACAAATGCTTTAAATATGACTTGAGAAGCTTGCAATTACATTCTCCCCCTTTTTTGATGATGACAACCAAGTCTGAAAACGATTCTTGAAATGTTCATGTTGTTTTGTGTAGCAAACATGTTAAGCAAATGCAAGGCTCCCCCTAAATTGTATGCTCCCCCTAAGTCCATGATTCTTTGAATTTTTGGAGTGAGTATGATATTTATTTGGGCCTGCAATTTCTTTGAAAACAAAACAACACATATGCATATTCTTCTCCCCCTTTGTTAACATAAAAAAGGATGGGGAAAAAGAGTGAAACAAATTCATTTTAAAATTTAAGACGATAAAAACATATAAAAGAAGGAGTAGAAGCAGAGAGTAATAAAACATAAATTCTTTTGAAGAAAAATTAAGACGTGCACCTTATGAGAAACATTTAGATATCACCTTCATCCAAAATACCAAGTTCTCTTCGAATTTTGAAGAAAGGTTCTCGAGCAAGCGGTTTTGTGAAGATATCTGCGTGTTGGTTATGAGTATCCACAAAAGTGACTTCGACATCTCCTTTAAGAACATGATCATGGAGAAAATGATGTCGAATATCTATATGTTTGGTTCTTGAATGCATGACCAGATTCTTTGTAATATTGATAGCACTTGTATTGTCGCATCGAAGAGGAATGCATCCGAGATCAAGTCCGTAATCACGGAGTTGTTGCTTGAGCCAAAGAATTTGTGCACAACAACTACCCGCTGCTATGTATTCTGCTTCGGCCGTGCTAAGAGCAACACATGCTTGCTTTTTACAAGCCCATGATACTAATGCATTTCCAATAATGTGACAAGTACCACTTGTGCTTTTACGATCAGTTTTACAACCTGCATAATCCGCGTCAGAATAACCAATTAAAGTGCAAATACTACCTTTCGGATACCATAAGCCGACATTGGTTGTTCCTTTAAGATACTTCATGATCCTTTTAACTGCCATGAGGTGTGATTCCTTTGGATTTGCTTTAAAGCGAGCGCAAATACAAACACTAAACATGATGTCAGGACGGCTTGCCGTCAAATACAATAAAGAACCAATCATACCTCTGTATTTTGTAATATCAATTGGAGTACCGGATTCATCTTGATCAACATATGTACCGGAGCCCATTGGAGTATTCATTGCTTTACAATGTTCCATATCAAACTTTTTCAATAATTATTTGCAATACTTAGATTGATTGATGAAGATTCCATCTTCTAGTTGCTTAATTTGTAGTCCAAGAAAGTAGTTCATCTTTCCCATCATAGACATCTCGAATTCTCCTTGCATCATCAATGAGAATTCGTCACACATTTCTTTGTTAGTCGATCCAAAAATGATATCATCAACATAGACTTGAACCAATAAAGTGTTACTTTGGATTTTCTTAATGAACAAAGTTTTATCAACCTTACCCTTTTCGAAACCCTTTTCACACAAAAAATTTCTAAGTCTATCATACCATGCTCTTGGTGCTTGCTTTAAGCCATAAAGAGCCTTTCTCAACTTAAAGACATGTGTAGGATGTTTGAAGTCTTCAAATCCCGGAGGTTGTTTGACATAGACTTCTTCATTGATGTATCCATTCAAGAATGCGCTTTTGACGTCCATTTGAAAAAGCTGAAAATTTAATGAACAAGCATAAGCAAGTAAAAGACGTATAGCTTCTAACCTTGCAACCGGAGCAAATGTTTCTTCAAAGTCGATT